AGAAAGCAGCAGGGAATGTATGGAAGCAACTGATTCATGTCCAAAATCATTTGCAGTTTGTTCAGAGAGAGGAGAAATTGCTACTATGATGTGCACAAATGACTGAGTGTTGTGGAGGTTAAACTAATAGTTATGAGAATTTCAATTCTGATCTGAGAAACGCACCAAAGCGACGGAGAAAAACTGTAAGAAATAGCTATTTAGGATGTTTACCAAAATTAAACATATTTCTTTGAACAACACAACACTAAAGTAAAAAGGGTCAAAATAGCTTTTTAGCTTTTTAGAAAATTACTGAAAACTGAAACAAGTTGTTTTATTGCTGATGATCACACGTCTACTTTTCGACTTTAAAATGTTGCTTCAGTGAATCTACAGCAGCAGTAGGTGAAACGAGAGCAAACGTTTACCTTCAAGAAGGTGGTGTTGGTCGGGTCCAGTTTGGAGTTACACTCGACCTTAAAGACAAAACAGCAGGTTGAGCTGACTAAGTCAGATCAGATGCGACAACAAGAACAATCATGTCTTTTTGCATGCTTTGTGATGACTTCATCAGGCAACATAACAGAAATGTCCACACATTTACAGATAACATTCAAGTACAATCACGTTTATTTAGATACAGGGAAATTCAGAGTGTTTTACTAAAAACGTAATAACACACAAAAATATATTGTTGAAAGGCGTTCCTTTACTCTCAGGCAAAATAAGTGAGCTACTGTTTTTATAGTAGTGGTTTGCATGGCCTCACTGGTTACGTCAAAAATTGTTGCAGAATACAGAGCCAGGGGCCAAAAGTCACACTAGCAAGATTGGTGACACCATGATCAGTTTGTTTCCCAAACTATGTAATTTTCTGCACACATACCAAATACAGCAACACTTAAAAGAGATTAACAAGATAACACAAGACAACACAAGATAACACTGGCTTCTTAGAGTTAACTCTTTCCCCCATAAAGTTGACATTGGATGACCTCCACTGTACCTTTATGATGAGTTTTGAAACCTCAGTATAAATCAATAAAAACATGGTTTGATGACCATTAGAACAGATTCTGGATTTTTCCTGTACAGGTAAGCTGTATAGGCAGAGCTCACCCTCTTCTGATTGAGCAAATGTGACGGATTGTCATGGTCCTGGGTCGGTGACTTTTTGTACTTTTACTTTTGATAGTTTTATGTATTATGACTGTTGTGTTTTAGTTTCCCAGGGTTTAGTTTGTGCTCCCTCTGTTTGGTGTCATCCCTGCCTGTGTATTACCTCTAGTGTAGTCAGGTCTCTGTGTTTAGCCCAAGTCTCTGAGTCTGTGTCTTTGCATGAGTGTGTGTGTTTTTCCTGTTTTACTTTGAAGGTCCGTGTCTGATCTCAGTATGTTCAGTTCACGTTTTCCCTGTCCTGTCATGTCTGATTACTCCCAGCTGTGCCCGCCTTCTGTGTCTCATTCCCTCGTTATCCTTCTCCGTATTTAAACCTGTCTGCCTCTGTTAGTTGCTGGTTTGTCTGCGTGTCTTCCTCTGTCGTCGCTGGTTGTCTCTCCATGTCTCCTGCATCCCCATGTGTCTTTAGGTTTCAGGTTTGTTTTCTATGCTTAGTTTTCCCAGTTTAGGTTTTACTCAGTTCTGTTTTTGCCACCCTCGCCTTTGTTTGAGCACGCTCCTTTAATAAAGCTTCCTCACCTCAGTTGTGCTGCATCTTGGGTCCTTTAATAATTCCATACGGCTCGCCTAAATGGTACATGTCATGTACCATTTAACCAGTTATGCCTAATATACTGCATATGCTGCGGAGACTTCCATACGGGTTTTACTGTGTCACTTTTAGCTTGGATTATATTTTTTAATTCCTCAGATCTGTTTGGCTATATTGCTTGGTTTTCTTTTTGGGGCTCTGCTGTTGTTCGTGTCCATGTGATTGGCCATATTGTGCCAAACCTTACATATGAACACACTCAAAGGTTGATTGGGGAAATGTGAGCTGACAGTGAGTTCATAACTAACATCCACCGTTGGCCTATCTTAATGAAGATATTCTAATTCTATTGATTTTAGACTTCAGTGCAAGAATCAAGTCTAAGATCTAAAAATGCAAATTGCAGTGAGCAAGCAACAGCTATAAAGCCAAATGAAACTGCTTGCTATAATTAAAAAAGACACGACACACCTTAAACTACTAACCCATATAGAGTGCTGGCGTGCTTTCAACACACACTGAAACACTTGCTATAGATGGAAAACTTTCAACTCCAAGATAAACAGTGTCAGGACTTTATCAGAGACGGTGAATGTATAGTCCATATATGGAGACGACCCAGATACTGCAGTATGCTGCAGAGATGACTCACTCCAGCAGGATAAGATTCATCCGCAGTGTGTGCACACACAGATGTGCACAGAAACACAAACGTTGCCAAACTGCTCACATGTGGACATGCAAAAGCACATTCAGGGCATCACACAGAAACCAACGAGAACATGCTTTTGCTCTCTGCTGCATTTAATCTTTAATCCTTTACACAGATTCCAAAAATACATTTTTGGTAATCTTGACAAAATAAACACGTATAACTGTGAGATGAATGCACATCTGCACTTTTTTGAATAAAATAAGAATTTTTCTTAAAAATTTTTTTAGACAAGCTTCATCTGCTGATACAAAACTGCATATCAATTACAAATTATTTGCACAGCTACAACAAAACAGTTGCAAATTAGTTGCAGGAAATGCAAATGTGACTCTTATAAATATGCATCTCTCCATATTCCACTCACTCTGCATTAACAGAATAGAATGGAATAGAAATAGCCTTTATTGCCTTTATTGCAAAATTGCCAGGCAGATGGAGCATGCAAATTAGTAAGTAAAGGGAAATATGTATAAGAATATGTACAAAATGTGCCGTATATTTATGCTTAAAAAAAGGAAGAAAGAAAAGCGTAAAGTAAGTGGAGCATACTCCGCAGCCTCAGCTGGTCATATCAGCAGATATGAAATATTAATATGACCTCCATCTGTCACATCCAATAAATTAACCTCTGTTCACATCTCTCACTTCCTCGCTTCCCTTCCCTCCATCCCTGCTTCCATCTCTCCATCCTTCTATCTTTTCAAGAGGTTTTATAACAACATCTCGTTCTCCATCTCACAGAGGATGGAGTGATTTGATATCAATTTGAACAGGCGGCAGATTAACTGGTGCAGAAGCACACATATCTGGGCCACTTCAGACAGCCCCAGAGCGAGAGCGAGGCCATCTGGCCTCTGGAGAACACGTACGCAAATAGACACACACACACCTATAGTACACCTATAGTAATGCAGACAGGCAGGGGAGAAGGAGGCTTGTAGAGATGTCTCTGCTGGCTGACCTGTTTCTTTATTCATGAATGAGCACAGAGTGAGAACAAAATACTGAACAGAGTGAGAACAGGTGGAGGAAGAAGGAGGGGAGGGTCTGCTGGTAAGCTAATTTTTATTTACTCTGACAAACTGAGTCAGCTCTGTGGGGAATTTATAGAAGCAACATAAAGACGAAAAGAAACTGATGAAGCACGGCTACTACATGATGAGACAAAAAGGTCACAGACTAATTCCAAGTCCCCTCAAAATAGTCATACAAGCCTAAGTGATCCCACTCTGCACATTTTATCAAAGATAAGTTCATCAAGTGAGAAATGTTTAAAACCTGCAGAGACTTATCCACTGAATCTTCAGCTTTAATGAGCGTTTAGGGGTTTCAGCTACTTATTCAGCTGTTATTAAAGTGCTTTAATGGTAACAGAGTAGAGGTTCTGCTACTAATGGTTTAAGGCCATTTGGGGTGTGACCAATATAAAACCTGTGCGGGATCATGTTTGGTACCTAAACAGGGAGAGTGTATTTTCTTGTTAAATACCCCGATGAATGCATTGGTCAAGCATTACAGTTGTCTTTATGGAGCTTTAGTGCATTCATGGTGTCCTTATTGGTGGCAACACACCTTAAATTTCCCTTTACACTTGATTCCCTACATCAGACAGACACAGTTAGTGATTAACACGTGAGCATTTAGCAACTAAAGAACCAGATCTTTCTCTAAGGAGCTGGTGGAGACCAAAAGCAAAGCTAAAAGAGTGTAGACTAGACTAATGTTTGTCACATTGCCAGAAACATTGGTCGGAATAAATGTAAAGTTTTGATGTTTTGCAAGTAGGAAAGAGAAGATTTTGATCAGTGTAGCTATCCAAGTAATGAATATAAAATATGAATCCAACTGAAAGATTTTTTGTTTGTCGTAACTGGCTTTAGACAAACAGAAAGAAAAAGAACAATGACTCACCACTCCTTCCTCTGCAGGCGCATTGTCTCCAACAACCAACATCACAGGACACCTAGAGGCCATCAGTATTCTTTGTGAACATCTTAAAAATTTTAAGCATTGACATGATTTTGCTAATTATCACTTACAGCACACGTAACTCTCTCAGATTAAATCTATGTCTGTTGTTCTGCTGTCGGGTCCAGACTACATGTTTGAAGATGCCTTTTACAAGAGAATCTTTTACATTATATTATCTAATCTTTTATAGCTGTTTATAATATCATGTGACTGTATTTACTCAACACAAGAAACTCATTATTCTAACAGCTGGTCAGCTGATTCCAGTGGTGTGTCAGTCTGTCCAAAATTAACAAAAATAAAAGCTTTAATCTCCACTAAACCTTAGAAAACACTGTGCTGTGATGGCACATCTGAAGACTTACTTCAGGGTCTTGGCGTTAAGCACTGTCCCACTGCGGTTCATCTCCAAGTCCCTCCGACTGAAAGGGGCAAGACAAGATAGACGAGTTTAAAAAAAAACGCTGTGTGTTTATGTTTGTTGTTACGTTTATTATTCATATTACATATATTTATATGACTTAAAAATACACTGAGTTTGAGCTTCCACCTGTTGTACATGTTCCAGAAAAGCTGCAGGTTGAAGTGGTTGATGTTGTTGTTGATCTGCTGCCTGTAGCTCTGCACCAGCTCTGTGTTGCTCACCAGCTCCTCCTGCACAGAAATACAGCTGTGGTCAGTAGTACTCGCAGTTATACAAGAATAAATAATCAGTCGAATTGGATGATGACAAAATTACTTTATTAAAATTGTATTTCTTAAAATTTTTGTGGTGCTCTGTGAGGATTTTTGTGCTGCTCTGTGAGGTTTAGCCCCCACTGAACTGGTGCTGAATGCAAACCCTAACCGTACCTGTACCTTTGGTACTTGATGTTTGTTTTCAGTGTTATGATGAAATTGTTCCCCAAAGTTTTGTCAATCAAGGAACAAAGAAAACCATAATTGCTTCTTAGAATGAGGAACCTGTTATTAAACTTCAAAGAGTTACAGTAAACATATTTTCTTCCTGTTTTCCCGTCATGCTTGAACAATAACTGTAACTGTAATCTTTTTGGACAATTACAATGTTTTTTCCCTGGCATAAACAGTTTTTGAAGAGAGCAAAAATCTCATATTCTAATGGGGTTTGGATTAGGGTTAGGTTTCTATGGTTTTCACCTGCAATGACTTTGACCTCAGAAACTTAAGCACACTGGAAATTAAACAACATTATGTTTAAAGGTGAGTTTACCTGGCTGAAAAGATGTGGCAGCACCGTATCCGGCAGAGCGCTGGTCAGACCTGACAGCTAAGGGAAACAGAGTTATTGCAATGAGAAATATAAAAGGCATACGTAGGCTGATAAATGTGAAAATGGATGGATTAATGGATGGACACAGTATAGGAGAGGTACCTTGGTAGCAGCCCAGTCAATCCATCCCTTGCCATTGGGGTCGATGTTGAGCAGAACCAAACCCTCTACCAGCTCAGGGAAGATCAGCTGTGCGTAAAAGACAATAGAATCTTTTTGCACACCTGGAAATGGAAATGCTATTGTTGTTTCATAAATAACAATGAATAACTTTTGACTTACAGCAAATTTGGCCAGAATATAAGCTCCAGCTCCAACACCGATTCCAACGATGCTCTTGAATCTAAACAAGATCAACGAGACAAATAAGGATGCAATGGTTTAAATAATTCATATGTGTGGATACCACAAGTATTGCTGCAGTGCCTACATGACAGAAAACTACTGTAGGACACACAGATGGGAAATTTATACGTGCAAAGAACAAGTGTTCTATATCTCAGACATGAAAGGTACTGTAGGCTCAGACTAAAATTATATCCAGCTGGCAACATCTGATATTTTCTAGTCCTATAAATTAATTTTCTACAGTTGTCATTAAATGAACTGAAAATGCATGACACTCGTTTTCATGTGAGGTGATTTTGTGTAGAACACAAATGGGAGCAGAAACATTTTTCTCTGATTTTGAACAATTTAACATGAAAATACAAGAAAAAATACAGAATTTTTGTAAATTCAAAGCACAGAGCACCCACCCAAAGTGCTCCACAACAGTGGGCAGCATGCCAGCCAGCTGGTCCATGGTGGGGTACTGGTACCTATGGAGAGAAAGTAATGACTCATTTCACTCGAAACAATTTAAAAATCTATCAGATTCAGAACTCAGATGAGTTATTCCCAACATTTTTCTTTCAAATGTCAACCACCCGTTATGCTGTGTAAATGGGCGCTGTTTAAAGTGAAAGTAATTATATAGAGTTCTATGTGCAGGATCTGGACGGTTCAGTGACGTCTTTGTTCCCCTCAGTTAATGGTTCTAGATAATGGCACTATCTGCACTCATGTTTAAACAGATTCTGCACTATCATCGATGACCATTGATGAATGAAATTACCCTTTTTGTCTTTCTGTTTGTTGTGATTCCTATTAAGGAAACTGCTTAATAGGAATCAGAAGTTTGAATAATAATAATTTTTGGACTGGCCAGCTCATAATAAGACTTTTCAAATGTAAAACCATTACACCCCCATAAATAAATACAATAAAACTAGATAATAAAATTATTCTATAGTATAATCAATAAAGGGAATATCACAATTTAAGACATTAATTCAATTAATGATTTAAGGCATAAAAACCTATAAAACTTCTCAGTTTGTAAATGACTCCACTAAACACGAGATAATTAATCAGGGAAGAATAAATAATTCTCCATTCATTCGATGTGTTTTTTGTACCCTTGTGGGAACTGTGATGCTCCAGTCTGCTGTCCCGGGGCATCGACGTGGCACACCACAAAATGCTTGGTGATCTCCTGCATGTCTTCATTACTGAAGAAAGTGTTGAAGCACAGCTTGTCTGTAGGAGAGTGAGGAAATAAGCAGAGGTAGCACGGGGTGAGAGGACGGAGGGCTGGGAGCAGAGGAACGTGATCACATTGAATGTGCACCACACTCTGAGAGGATCTTGAAGGTGGCCATCTGTGCAGTTCATCCTCTGCCAGCAAGGAAAGGCAAAGTCTCCTTCTAGCAAATCTGACACACAGCTTTTATTCACCTTTGTTTCTAACTGAACTGATGAATTTCTTTATTTTAATGTGGTTTTTACACTTTACAAAATGGTCTGAAAATGATCTTCAAATGTCACTGATGCTTGGTGATGAGAAAACAGTGAGAATAGCCAAGGGCTCCGTGGAGATGCTGCATATGCAGTAGTGGGACATTCATTGCACAAAAAAGAGAGGATCCATATTCTTTTCTTGGAAGGAATGTCTGATTTATTTCCAGGGTCACGGAGGATTTCCCTCACTGTAGAGCTCTATTTCCTGAACCACCACAGAGAACATTAGATTCTGAAATAGCTTCATGTATAAAAGATGTCAGTTCTCTTATGCCCTCCTCCCACCGGCTCTGCAGTTGGCCTATTTTCTGTTCATGTGTGTCAGACTCAGTCAAGCCATGCAGCAACATTGTTTCCTCCTTGGGCTCTGCCTGAGCAATGCTAATTAAACGGACCAATTAACAAGACAACTAGGCTAGAGATGAAAATCAGGGGAGGGGAGCTGGACGCTCTGACTTTGCCGCAGTGCCGGCTTGCGGGCAATAATACGAATGCTACGTGACCACTGACGTGAGAAGTTTCTCATCACCAACACGCTGAATCACCGCTCAGCTCTTTCACATTATACTCCTACTGACTCCGTGACCTACTTTCTCCCTCTGTACTTTCTTTATCTGCCTCTCGTTCTTCCTCTCCTTTTATTTCCCATGCCCTGCATCCTGTACAATTAGATGCACACTTTGTTTTCTTTCCTAACAATTTCTACTCCGTGACCTGATTTCTACTTCTTAAATGAGCCCTTCTCCTCTCCCTCGGCCTCTCTGTCTTTTTGCTGCACTCCTAATGTCTTTATCTTTATTTCACTTTCTATTTTTTCCCAGCCCCCTCCTGTTCTCTTGTTCTCTCTTGATCTGTGTTTTTAATAGAGGGAACTGGCAGATTGCTGTGCCATCTGCTGATTGGGAGTCATTTTAATGGAACAATAAGCCCCCCACCAATTTTTCTTTATGCTTTCTATTTTTTACTGTGACTCCTTTCATCTCTCGCTCTTGCTCCATCCTATGTGATTGTGTGCTGCAGTCAACTGATTTAGTGACTAGCTGTGAATACTAATAGCCTTGTGGTTCTGCTGCAGCAGCAGAACATTTTCTATATGCATAATAATATATATTTGTGTGTACTTTTTGTCTGGAGTGAGTGGATTTATGTGGGTTTTTTCACCACCTGAGACAGACTGATGCAGAAAAATGTAGTCAGATATTTGCAGTCATACATATATCACCTCTGCTTCCTCTCATACCGTCCTAATTCACCCCACCCTCCTTATCCCACCTCCACCCATCAAAGCAGCACCGCAGTGTCGCTGGCGCCGCCTCGCCTCCCTCTGCAGGATGTCCATGTTTTTCTGACCTACATTTCATCGATGCCTCTCAGCATCTCAATTTAAGACAAATGCTTTGGTTTTTTTCATTGTTTTTATTTTTACCCCACCTATGTATATGCCTCATTAAATTAAATTAAAGTAAGTGCAGCAGTGCCTTTGCTCAATGATGGGAGTGTCATGACAGCATCCAGCTCTTGGTGCATGGAATGAAAATCAAGTCGCGATGATGTGTTATCTAATGATGACAACATATTTTCTTGTCAAAGATAATTAATCTTGTCAAGCACCAAATGCACACAGCTTTTTAAGTAATTTAATGGTTTTGATTTGTCTCTGTGAGATGATGAAGTCTTTGCTGTGCTAGTTTTAGAGGAAACCTTTATATTGGTGATTGGAAACGACTGAAGGAGCTTTGAATGAGTCCCTCTTCAAATTAATCCTTAATTATGTTGTACTGGACTCTGGTGCAGTGACTCAGTGCATCGTCTGTCAGAAACACAGAGACACTTTCATGTTCATGCCAAGTTTCTTCTGATTGGCTGGTTCTTGTAAACAGCAGGTTTGAACATTAGGTGTGGGCTTCTCCTGTGTTCATGGCGAGAGCTGACATCATGGAGAGCCAAGACTATAAAGCATGATTCACAAATATTTGACCATGGTTACGATGACCGTCCACCACTGAAATAGTATACATGCCCCAAACTGCTGACTCTAAGTCATTGATTACAACGTAAAATGTTCATTTCATGTAATCTGGTCAAAAGACATTTTCTTGAATGGGACACATTCAGTTTATATCAAGTTGATTTCTTTAACAATTTTTTTTTAAAGAAATTAATTAATAAAAATCCAAATACACGTGTTTCTTTTAAATGTGACTCAGGCTGAAAAAGTGTGTGTTTGTGTGTGTGTGAGCGTGCAAAGTAAAGGTAGAAAGCCAATTATCACCTTTGATAAGTGCAGAAACAGGAGCATCTGTTAAGACACCAACACAATACTCACGGTTCAGTCCCACATCGTGGTAGGTGAGGATAGCGGGCTTGTTTCCCTTGGGCGCCCCTCGGATCACCACATGCAGCATCCCATAAGGGGTCTCAACATCATGTTCCTGTGAAATACACAAAAACAGACATTTACCTGGTGGTTCGCACATAGTCGCCAAACAACTCCTTCGAGGGTGAACAGATGTCCTCATTAATCCGTTATTGCAAGAGTTTCCCTTTGTGCGCCAGCACACATTAAACACTCATAATTTCACCTGCTTCTTGTTGAACTTGCTCTTTTCTCATTAATAGCCAGTTCACACTACGCTCCTCATTAATCTTCCATGACAGAGGCAAGTGCAGCGATAATTAGTGGATAATCCTACAGATGATCTATTGGACATTAATTTACTTAGAAGGTCGTGTTTTAAATAATTCAACAGTCAGTGGCTTTCAAGGTCTAGAGTCCAGACTCTGATGGACTTTTTTTAAAAGCAGGAATATGAAATATGAAAACTATTTCAGTATCAGTGGCTAACTACTGTTTAGAAATTGCAAAAACAACTAAAAAAATTTCAGCTGCAAATTGTGTGGAGACTTTCAGTAAAAGTCATGACAGCCTTTGGACTGACTGACAAACTGTCATCCAGTCTTACACCAGTGGGAGACACCATGTGTGGTTCTTGTGAGTTTGAGGCTCCAACTCTGAAAACAGCTCAACGGTCTCTAAACTGGAAACTGTCACTTCTGATGAGGGTTAAGCTAATCTTCATAACCTTTGTACACCTTTGGTAACACTTTAAAATAAAACCACTGCTAATACAGAAACAGAAATTGATGCTTAAAAAGAGTAAATGCTGATATTTTTTTCTATATGTTTATTTTATTTTGGCAGAAAACAATGTTTAAAAAAATAAACTGTCAAACTCTCTGTTTCACATTCAGAATAAGAAACATGACAGATGAATATTAGCGATCCATATCTGTGATTTGGGCTGATCTATGTTAGCTTTATTGTTTGCATTTATATTTTTGTTGGAATGTTGATATGTTTACCTCGAGGGAAAAATAAGATGTCATATAAATAAACGTCTTGAGCCGATGCTGATGTATATCTGCGCATCCCGACTTACATCGAAATAATGCAGAATCTACTAGAGATGCTCTTTTATTATTGTTGTTATTAATAATAAACAATAATCGTTATTTGTATGCAAAAAGACTCGCACGAATGCTTAGTATAAAATCCTTGGCAATTTAAAAGCTCCAAATATGCAAATAGGGGAAAAAAAATCATATTTCAGAGAATATGAGTCCTGTGTTTTTTACCGATGTGACATCATCAAATAACTTATGTGTGCAAATGTGTCGAGTTATGACCCACATTTTGTCAGCATCTGCTGACCACAAAAAGCCAAACTCAAAATGGAGGCAGGAAATATGAGAAACCATCAACTGCGCAACTAATACACACACACACACACACAGCAGAGTGATGCTTTGGGATTATTATGCCAGGTTCAGGCGGTAAACTGCACTGAAGCCTTTATTGATGCTGCTCCCACTCTGGTCTATATTTTCCACTCTGAAGCAAACACACGCTGACAGGCTGCCATTACTGTCCTCCCCTCAGCATCCGTTCACACCTTAAACTGTTCAGATGCAGAGAAACAACTGCCTTAAATTCTCTGTCAGCCTGCTGCTGTCAATCTGCAGCATCTCTGACGCCCTGCCTGCTTCTTCTAAAATAACACACAATCATTGTGGAGTTATTTAAATAACTCCCAAATGACTCACAGCGCAGAAATACAGCAGTGCCACGGATGCAGCCAAGTGACAAAATTCCACATAATCCTCTCTTCTAGCAGCAAATAGTCATGCAGCCAACAGCTAGGAGTTAATCCGGCCAGATTATCTCTCTATTATTTCAGCGTTAACATCAGTGTTATCTGCAATCAGCATTCTAATTTGAGGCAGTTACTGCATCAGAGGCTTTGTTTGCAGTCTGTTGTAGTGACATTACACAGACACATGAGCTCCTCAGATAATTGCGATATCTTTAAGAGAGAATCCAAGCTTCCAACAATAACCGTCTGTGCAGCAACATGACAAAAGCGAATTATGTTATTTCGTTTGTATTACAAAACTAGGTGAACAGAAAGAGAAGGCTACCTAGCCTGACCTGTCTCCCCAATGTGATGTTTGTGTATTGTATGTACGGTCGGCAAGGTCTGTCATCTCGGTTGTGGGCAAAAGACCTGCAACTGACAAATAAAGGCTATCTCATCTCATCATCTCATCCCAAGTATGCACCAACCTTACTCGTCTGCTTCAAGGTTGCATAAATGACACTGCAGAAGGATTAACACTTGCCCCACACGCCCTCGTCTGCAGAGGTATGTGCATCAGAGCATTGCACAGAATCTGTGTTAGTGCGCTTAAGTGTGTCAGTGGGCCAGAGTCAGAGCAGCCCATCAACTGACACTGACGCTGCAGTTTCAGCTGAATACAAAACAGCAGCACACAGCAGTACACAGAAAACACGCTGCTTTTATCTCCTGCAGTAACACCTGCGTTCTATATGATTCAGAATAAACAGAAGCATCACAAAATGAACTGGCAAAGAGCAGGAAAAGCAGTGTTTGTGGTGTTGATGACACTCAGGATTGGTCCTGATCAGTCACTCACCCCGTCCCAACACTCAGGCATGGCTCCCTCTCAAGTCTACACTCAGCTGATGAAGAAGAAGAGGAGGGTGCAGACAGGCAAGCGAGCAGCCAGACCTCTCCTGTGTTACGGGACTAGGTCCTGGTGAGGGTGGTCTGCAGGACGAAGGGTTGGCTAGTGGATGCTGCAGTCTTTGTCTGCTTTGCTGCGCTCCCAGCCACGCTCTTAAACAAGGAGCTGGAGCCGCCCTCCCCACTCCCACTCTCTCTCTCTGACATGCTGCAGGCACCCGAGGCAGGCCGGAGACGATTGGCTCACCGTGCTGCCTCCCCTCCCCCGGATTGGTCCGCTGGCCTGTGAGTCTTCTGTGGCTCTCGCATCAGCACCACTGCTCTACTTTTGATCTTGTTTTGCTTTGCTGTTTTTCTCAGCAACCAGTTACCTTTGAGCCTTTTCCTCTTCATGAATTATAGAAAACGTTTTGTTAAAAGCCTTTACTGTGTGCCAGACTGGACATGGCATTTAATGTGGTAATGAGATTGATTATTATGCAGTTAAAGGATATCATAAAAAGCCAAAAGGAGAAAACTGAGCTTTTGACTCACAGAGATTACTTGTACCTGATTGAGCTGAGTATAGCTGAGTATGTGAGACTTTGTTCATGTTTAATCTGAGCTTCAGACACCAACCTTTGGGGCAAGCAACAAGCAAAACTCAGTACATGTTTGCATTCCTGGAAGTTAAGTACCAGCGAGGAGCATTTAACTAGACAGAGGTTTACAGCAAAGGAGTCACGTGGGCCAAAGAATGAGGGGTGAGTGAGTCACATGAAGCCAAAGAGGTCAGACATTTAGGTACTGACAGGTATTGAACTGGTGAAGACAATGTACACAGAGTACAGTGAGCAATCAGTGGCAACACCTCAGCGTGTGTTGCAGATGATATACATCAGCAGGATAAAGTAGCATAGCACAAAAAAGCAACATGATGGGAATAGAT